GCATATTTAAATTAGCATACCTTATGCTATGCATGCGTGCATTCATACATTTGTCTTGCATGCACCGGGCTCAGTGCATCATTCTAACTGCATTTGTATTTCAATTCCAAATTGAATACGTGTTAGTTGTAGCATTTCACATGTCATTGTAGATTAGCCGAGCCTATCTTAGTTGCATTTTGCATGTGTTGCATTAGCCATCTTAACATGAACTAGGATCATGCATATGATTACTAACTAGTTTTTTGTTTTGGCTCGGAGTACTCGGTAAGCATTTATGCTTTAGCATACCGCATGCGTGTGAGTGTTGCCATAACAGCATGATTACCATGAGGCTAACTGCTTATGTGATATAACTGCTCGAATGCCTGTGGATGGAGGTTGAATTACCTAAATTGGAATAATACATTAAAACTGTGAATTTTTTAAGCCTACTAGATAGTGGCAAAACCATCTTTTCTAAAAGCCCACTCGAGGGTGGCAAAACCTGCATTTTAGCCTACTTGCGAGTAGCAAACCATCTTCAAAACGAACATGCAATGTTTTGTTCCAATTTAGGCGATTTGGTCTATACTTGTTTGTTGCGCGCATAACATAGTAATTCTAGGCTAATAAATGGAATAAGAACACATAACGTTTTCAAAAACGGATATCACGGTTAGTAAAGGCCGATCTTCAGATCGGGCGAGAGAGGGTGCTCATAGCTGACCTTCCCTAATCGTACCCAAGCTCCCGAGCCGAGGCAACTTTGGTAATGACGGACACGTGGCCTTTGGCACCGAGTTAGGGTTTCTTAAATTCCCCCATAAAAAATATTTAGGTGGCGACTCTGTATCTGGCAAAGCTGTCCATGTTTGGTACTTCTTTTCTAAAAGTCTGTTTTCTCAAAACGATTTTCCGGATTTGGACTCTTTGGTTCAGATTAAGAGCCGTGACAATTTGAGAGTCCTGAATTGTAGTGAGCCCAATACGAACCGAACGGGACTCATTCTCCCGGGGCGTTCAGGGACGTCTACAGCCTTGTGCTATGAGGTGTATGGTAAATGGTGTAGGACTTAAGGGGTTTTGATGCTTGAGGTAGAGAGAGAGAGAGATTGAATGCAAGAGCTCAAAACCAATTTTTGTAACCCTCAAACAAGGAGCTGAGGGGCTGGTTTTATAGAGGAGAGGAGTGGAGAAAATGGGGGAAACTCAAATTCAAATTTCCCCCCCAAAAGACCCCCCTCGGATACAGGATCTGGGGGGAAAGAGAGGGTACAGCTGTAAGGAACCAGGTGAAAGGGTCATGGCCGGCCAGATTCAGAAGGTTCAGGGGGCCGGCCCGCCACCTCCCATGGCCGGCCGCCCAAGGGTCAAAAAGGTCAATGAAGATTGCTGGCCGGCCACCCTAAATTGGTGGCCTCCCATGTGTGCACAACATAACTATGTATTTGAAACCCGGAGAATGTGAACCAGAAGAGAGAAAAACCCATTTTTTAGAGGGGTTCAAACGGTTCAGGCACAATTGCTCGTCGGCCTATACATATTGGTGGCCTTCCAGGTGTGTACAACACAAATATGGGGTTTAGGGTTCAATAAAGTGGCCCCGGGGTGGTCAACATTAGCTTTTTAGTGAGGAAAACAGGCGACGGAGAGCAATGAAGAAATAAAGCTAGCTTTTCAGAACAATTGCTGGCCTCCCACCCTCCTACAAGCTTCCTGACAATGAAAATAAGGCTTCCACCAAAAATGAACCAAAACAGATGCAAAATGGAGGTTCGGGGACCGAAACGCGCAGCCCGGGGCCCTGAAAATGGGTTGTTAAGCACTGGAGGTGGCATTCGACCACGAAGTTGGTCTTTTGGGCCACAGTGTCCCCCAAAAGGGAGTAAATAAGGTGTGTGCCAAAACCCAGAGCAAACAGAGGTGGTTAGGCGGTCCCGAACCGAGACACACGGCCGTCGACTCTGAAAAAAAACCGAAAACCGGGCTCCAAATGGGAAAAATGGCCTACGACCATGAAACGTAGCCTACGGCCACTGAGAGATGATCTACGAGACCTCTCTCTCCCTTCGGGAAGAGAAAACAAAGAAAATAGAGCTTGGTTCGCAAACCGAGGCAAAGCACGAAAGAGTCAGGAAGTCCGGAGGTAAGGCTTGCAGCCGGGACTCTGAAATTTCTGAACGAGCGCAATATGCAATATCACCGAGCGTTCAATCAGTGACGTCTGAGTCTTAAGGTCGGTCAAAAAATAGGGTGTCTACAATGAGTTTGTTTTCATGTTACATATGAATTTTTTTTACGGGTTTCGTTAATTAGGAACTTGTCGTTGAATTAATTGTAGCAATTTTGTTTTTTGTCGTTTTTTTTTTTGGTAAACGTTTTTTTCCAGTGAAAGTCAATTTAAAATACTTTGTACAAAATATTTTTTCATAATTTTCATAATCCAAAAAAATAATGTTGTAGACATATTTTTCTTGTACGCGCTCTTGCAATTTTCATAATCGTTTAAAAATATTTGTTTATTTATTTTCTGTGCCGAGAAGTTTTCATAATTTCAAATAATCTTGTACGATGTCATTATGTAGTGTTTAATCTTTTCACGATATGTATTAGACTCACTTCATCTTTTACAACATGTTTATTTATTTAAAATAATATTTTACAATGTGTTTTTATTTATTTATTGCGTATTAGACTCATTTCATCTTCATAAATGTAAATTTTGAAAAATAGTATAAAAATCATAAAAAAATTGTATTGACTACAACAACATATGAATACAACAACTTATGAAAATGTACACTTTTTTGTATTTTTTAATCTTTTTGGTATTTAGTGTATTAATAATGGGCTTCAAAAATTATTTGCACAATTTTTAAATATACATTTTCAATTTCAAATATGGCGCAAAATTTATATTAACTTCAACAATTTATGAAAACAAATTGGAAATGCAAATTTATGAATTTCAACACCTTTAAAATTATGTTGTAAGTGTTGAAAAATTACATAGAATTAAATTTTCATAAATAATATGCAGAAAATTTATTTTATCACAAAATATCAAAACATTAACATAAACATGTGTAACATCGTCAGAAATTGGCATACGAAAATGTCCAATTTTTTTGTATTTGATGTTGTAAAAGTTTGTAAGTTGGTTACAATTTTTTTAAATGCCAATTTATATATATAAAAAAATTACATTTTCTGTGGTTGAAATGAGTAAAATTTTTATGATAATATGTACCCATAAACGGATACATACTAAATTTTGTTTTCATACATATATAGCATGTATATATAACTAACAGCAATGATTCATACCATTAATTTTAGTGCTCTAATAGAGTACTAATGACATGGCAATGAAAAAAAATAAAAATAAAAACATACCAAGACCAAAACATCACATCACTGTGAGTGGAGCTCGCTCAAAAATTAGAGCTCCAAAGCATTTTTCTATAACTAATATGGGAGTATTTTTTGATGTGACAATTTTTTTTTTTAAATTGTCCCTCTCCTTAAATTGGAGGGAAACTTGAATTTGTAATAATGCATTTTTTTTTTAAAAAACCAAACAAAGATCTTTTTTTTTTCAAAATGGAGTTTTCAAATCACTTTTTGAAAAAATAATTCAAAAAAATGGAACCAAACATAATGAATATTTTGTTATAAATTTATAATACCAAAATTACCTTTTCAAATATAGAAGAAATAAAACGATTAACTTCTATTAAAAGCTAATTTGTTAATATAACATGATATTATTTCTTTTATTTTCTTTTATATAGCTTAACCAAATTAGGTAGAGGAGAAAATGAATGGCTCCGGTTGGTTTACTTTTTAAAAAGAGTTTTGAGTTGCATTTTAAAAGATAATTGTTTGAAAAGAGTTTTGAAAATTAAAATTTTATTTGGTTATAAGTTTTGAAAATAATTTTGGAATGATTTGTATTTTTTTTTTTTTTGTAGTTGAATAGATAGGTGTGAGAGAAAAATTGATCGATTGATATACAGAATGTGAGAGAAATGAAGAGAAGAGAAGAGAGAGAAAAGATGATTAATTGATATGTGGGGAAAAAAAGAGACAGAGAGAGAGAAGAAGAAGAGAGGAGAGAGAAAAAAACAATTAAAAAAACCAATCAGTGTGTTTGGTTTCAGTTTTTTGAATTCAGTTTTCTAAAAATTAAATTTTTTGTTTTTCATATTTTTTTTTATTTTTAGTGAATATTTTTTAAATTTTAAGCAATTTTTTTTTTTAGATGCACCTTACTTAGATGTATCTAAATAGTAAAATATTTATGAAAAAAATATTTTAAAAAATTAAAAAATACACAAAATAAGAAAAATGTATTGAATTTTTGTATTTTTTTAATATTTTTGGTATTTAGTAAATTTTTTAAAGATATCATACTTTTTAAGTGTATTTATGTTAGATATATCTAAAAATTAAAAAAATTACTTAAAATATTAAAAACTTATTGAAAATAAAAAATACTAAAAATAAAAATAAAATTTTCTAAAAAATATTTTTTAAAACTAAAAACAAATAAGCTAAATATCTTTTTCTTTTTTTTTTCTTTCTTTCTAATATTTATCCAAACAAGAGAGAAATTCTTCTCTATTATCTCATGACCTACATAATCATTTTTTTCCCTCTCTCCTATGTTACCAAACATTGCAATCAAATTCAACTAGATTTGCATAAATTTATAGTGTGTTTAATTTGTGTTTTGAGATAAATTTAAAAAAAAAAAAATTAGAGAGAGAGAGTTTAGAAATTTTTTTGATTTGTTTAGCTTTATTAAAAATAATTTTAGAGTTTAGGAGTTTAGAATGATTTGATATTTTGTTGTAATTGAATAAATGTGTATGAGAGAAAAAATGATTGAGAAAAAAAAGAATAAAGAAAAAAATTAATTAATTAATGTGTAATAGAAAGAAATAATTTTAATTTTTTTTTTAAATTTTATAACCAAATATATTTTAAAAATTTTCTCCTAACGACATGTTCGAAAACACAAATCAAACCAACCCTCAATCTTTTCTTTTCTTTTTCTATTCTCTCATGACCTACCCAATCAAAAAAAAAAAAATTCTCGCCTGGGTTACGGAACGTGTTAATCGAATTCAACTAGGGTTCCGAAAAACACATGCAGCGAAAGATACTATCAGAAATTCATGGCCTCAAGGTACTGAATAGTCGTATTAACCTAGGTTTTCATTTTTTCACTGGAAGAACCCTAACCCTACGGCTGGAAGAAGAAGATGATCCTGTATATGCAGATGTGCCGAAGCCTTGTAGGACGAAATCCGAGAGGAAACCGTACCCGACGCCCATGAAAGTTTTGATTCGGAGGGCGAAGGAGGAGAGAGAAGCACGAAAGGCTCAGCCATGTCGAATGCTTGAAGAACCCCCCGATAATGGCCTACTCGTTCCCCAACTCGTTGAGTTGGCTCACCGCGTCTACCGGGCTCGAGAATCGGTCTTGTTTGGCATATCAAAGCTCGTCCCTGTCACACGAGTCCAACGATGCAGGTACAATGCTTTTTGTTAATTCAAATTTACCGTGTAAGTTTATAGTGTTTGCTTCTGTGAAGTGGATGTTTTTCAGCTGATCGAAGAAGTTGTAGTGTAGTTTAGTGCTTTTGTTGAATTTGAATCGTGTTCAGTTACTTGTTTATAAGCTGAAAATTTCATACAATTCTCTTCTGTTGTGATGAGCGAGTCTTCACTTTTAATACTGGTTATTTCATGTAAATTGAGGAATTACAATTAACTTGTTTCGATTGGTTTTGATATCAATGGAAGCTAAGAAATTTAAACAGAAGCTTGACATTGTTGAATCCGTTTAAGCGTCATAGATTCATTCTCGCAACTTTGAAGTCTTCAAGTGCTGTTTTAATTTTTAAATTGGGAGTTCTGTTAAAAAAAGTGTGTGCACTAAACACAATATATTTTATTTTGTGGATGATGGTTTTGTTTAAAGAAAAGAAAAATAATGGCAATTAATTGAGAAATAATGTAATGGCTGAAGATATTTTTGCATTCTTATTTCCTAAAGCAAGATTAAGTGTTATATTTGGAAAGAAAAATAACTGGTTTGAGGTTGTGATAAAATAAGACATCATTAGCAAGTTAGATACTTTATTTATTAAATTTCTGTGATGTTTTCTTCTCAGGCACTGCTTTGAGATTCACATTGGTTATGTGGGTCATGAAATCCGGACGTGCACTGGCCCAAAAAGTGGTTTCAGATGTGCCACTCACGTATGGCGTAATGGGGGAGTCCAAGATGTTATTTACTTTCCCAATTGCTTCCATCTCTATGACCGTGTTGGAAAACCAAGAATTGGGCACGATGAAAGACATTCTGTCCAACGAATCCCCGCTATTGTAGAGCTATGTATACAAGCTGGTCTAGACCTTGAAAAGTACCCTGTAAAGAGAAGGACAAAACCTGTTTATTGTATAGAAGGTAGAATTGTAGATTTTGAGTCGGAGACAGAGTATTGCAAATCTCAATTAGAAATTAATTCGGGGACAAAGAATGAGCAAGTGGCTGTCCAAGAGGACGGGAAGGATCTGAGGGAGTTGAGCATTGTGACATTAAATTCCTGGTTTGAGATGAGATCAGGTGTGATGAAGATCATGGAGAAGTATAGTGTTCAGACTTGTGGATACTGTCCTGAGGTTCAGGTGGGCCCCAAGGGACATAAGGTGAGAATGTGTAAGGCATCCAAGCATCAGTCTCGCAATGGTTTGCACGCATGGCAAGAAGCGACAGTTGATGATGTTGTGGGTCCCAACTATGTGTGGCACGTGCATGATCTACACAGGCCTGCACTGGACAATAACCTGAAACGGTATTATGGCAAGGCTCCAGCTGTGGTGGAGCTGTGTGTGCAAGGAGGGGCACCTGTTCCTGATCAATATAGGAGTATGATGAGGGTAGATGTGGTTCCTCCTGATCGCGATGAAGTTGATCTTGTTGCTTGATAACTGACTCTTGTGGATCAACCAGAGGTCTGTGGGCATCTGAGCCATTTCCCTTGTATTGGTTTGGAATCTATTTGTTGTATTGACATAGATTGCTTTGTTCATCAAACCATATAGGGACTTCTTCAGTGATTGCTTTGGACTTTAAATGAGTGAACAATGTCTAGAATCTGTAAATGAGCTGAGATTTATGAGTGGCAACAAGGCTTGTGCAAGAGGAAGGTGTTGGCTCGGCTTATCTTATTGGTATTACAGGATGATTCATCGATTCGGAAGATCAAACATTCAAAGAAAATCAAGAATGGTATGTTCTTTTGAAAACCTTTATACTTGGGCATATTCTGGTATTGGAGTTTCACGCGTTGCTTTGATGCTGAGACGTGGGAGTTTAATATAATGCTTTATTCTGAATTGGAACATGTATGTGATTTATTTTTATTTTTTCATTTCTGGGTAAGAACTTTATTTAAAGCTCATGTTTTATGTATATGTACATTATTTTTTTTTTACAAGATATAGAGTTTAATCATATTTTGTTGGGTTTCGTTTCTGTAGTATTTGCTTTCTTTTTTTTTATCTGATGATTAGGTATTGGTTTGCTTGTGACTCTTTTGGCTTTTTAAATGTTTTTATGGGCCTTGAAGTCCAGTTGCCGATTGTCAGCTTTCAATAGAATCTGTCGTGTGGAATGGGATGGGATGAAGGTAACAATAGCTTGAATTGTTGAGATTAATTTCAGGATATCCTCTTAAACTACGAGTCATTTGCATTTTATCCTTTGAATTTCAGAATTTAAGAGTTAAGCATCTTAGGGCATGTTTGATTAGTAGGATTATAGCATAAAATTGAGATTGTTAGTCCATAGATTCATAATCTCATGTTTGATTGCAAATTTTATTAACCGGATTATATGTACCATAGATATTCAATCTAATGAAATTGACAAATTTTTACCATTGAAAGGATTGTTGATCATAATTTCAAGTATGAAAGGAGAAAAATAAAATGAATATATAATAAATGATTATCTCACTAATTTAATTGAATAATTAATCTTGGGACAAATTTCACTTTACTCTCTTGTGGTTTGGGCCGGGTATGGATTACCCTCCTGACATTCGGACATCACTACATAACCCCCATGTGGTTTGTAGACTAAAATGCACACTAATTTTTGTTAACAGAACGTGTAAATTTATCTTTATACTCCCCTCTTCTTCTTCTTCTTCTTCTTCTTCTTCTCTCTTTTAAACCTGCAAATATACATATGTATACATAGACAGAAAAGAAGAAGAAGAGCTAAACCCCTGTCGGATTTGGCTTAATCAATGCTCGAGCTGGTGAGGTTGCAAGATTGGCGAGGGATAATCATGCAGAGTTTATCGCTTTGCAAGTTTGACTGCAAGTTGTGGAACAACCTGTTTTGGGGGCTCAGTGGCGCCCTTCACAACCAGGTTGTTTCAAGGTAAACTTTGATGGTGCTATTTTCCGTGCTCGCTCTTTATCGAGTATTGGGGTCATTGTGAATCTGGGCAGGTGATTGCGGCGTTGTCTATGCAAATTTCCATAGTGGCTGATGTCGATTCTTTGAAGGCATTAGCAGTTCTTTGGGCTCTTCGATTGGCAAGGGATCTAGGCCTGGGCAACATTCAAATGAATCTGGGCTGGTGATTGTACACATTTGGTCATTTTATTTAGTGTTTATTAAATAAATAAATGGAACTTATTTTCAGTAGCTAAAATCACAAAATTGACTTTTTTTGAAGAATTTAAACTCTATTTAGAACACTGTCAAATAAAAAGAAAAACAATTAAAAAGAATTTAAACTCCATTTAGAACACTGTCAATTAAAAAGAAATTGAAATGAATCATCCAATTGGGACAAACAATAGCAACCAAAATGGATTTGAATTTGTGGATTTGTTTACAACAAAAATGATCTCTCTCCATAGTAGAGACCTAGATTGGATTGGCCAAAGAACACGAACACTCCTGATCTAGAATTGGAGCCCATTGATGGACATGGAGCATCTTGAATCAAAAAGCATCTTTAGCATCCTAGTATCACCATTTTCTTTGCTGTAAAGGAAGAATGGCAAGCTTTTGTAAATTTAAAGATGTGTGGGGGGTATTTTGGTCATAAAACATAGCTTACTTTCTTCATGGGCATGTGAATCTCACAGCCCATTAATTTGGATAGAAAAGCTAACTGTGTATTTTAGTCCACAAACTATGTGAGGGTTATGTGGTGATGTCCGAATGTCAAAGGATAATCCGCACCCGGTCCACACCATAGGAGGTAAAGTGAAGTTTGCTCTTAATCTTATACTAAAATTCATGGGTTTATTGATCCTTATACTATTAATCTTATTAATCAAAGCCTTAAAATACTATCTTGTTATTGTGTATAAAGCCTTAAAATACTATTTTGTTATTGTGTGAAGCAGGTGACGCGCATAATCATTTTTCAATAAAGATGGGTAGCTTCAAATTGAACTTGCTCAAATGACCCGAATTTGTGTTTGCTGGTTGACCAGCTAGACAACAGATTGGATGCCCACTTGGGCAACCGGTGGAATACTTATCTACTGTGGTTGTCACCTTGTCAACCATCTTTCTTTCCAAACGACTGGTCGGTCGACTAGCAAGCTAAAATTTGAGTCATTCAGGACAAGATGAAATTCGAACTATCAATCATGATCGATAATTTTGTAAGATAATTATTTCATTATCTAGTGATCTAATTTGTATTTTGCCTCCCTTATTTTATTTACATTTTTGCTTTCATTACGATTCTAATAGCTTAAAAATATATGATTTATGTTTAAAATGTGCATTAATCCCGCCTAAAGCGACTCTTCTATACCAAAAATGGGTATATTATTCACAAATTCAAGTGTCAACAAATTTGGACTCGACCTTTTGCTGAAATTGTCTCAAGAACTATAACACTGCTTGGTTAAACTGGAGACAAAAAAAAGAAAGAAAAGATACTCAAATCTTATTTGAATATATTACATTAAAAAAATATAGGTTATATTATTTAAATAATATTTTTATTTTTATTTTGTTAATACTAAATAATTAATTTTGGTATTATATAAAATTGGCAATCAATTTTTTTTTTCAATGAGTCATAAGAGCATCTCTCACCCTTTACAAATATTTTTTTTTATCTAATTTAATTTGAAATTTAAGTAAAAATTTGATTTGAGATAAATTTTTTTTTATCTAATTTAATTTGAAATTTAAGTAAAAATTTGATTTGAGATAAATTGCTCCAATACTTGTACTTTCATTAAATTTTCATCAATTTTTTTTGAAAAAAATTATTCTCTTATTCCAAATTTCAATTTTAATCAAATTTTATAGAAAAATTAATTTCCAATACTTCATTTTTCTAAAATTTCAGCAAATTCAAATTTGATGAGTTGGCTGATTTTGCCAACATGGTTAAAAGTCAATTTTTTAGTTTTTTTATATCACATTACCTCTCTATTTTTTTACACATTTTTTTGACTTTTAACCTACTCAAAATAGGTCAATTTGATAAGAAAAATAACACTTCTTTAATTTGATAAACTATTAATGAAATAATTAGAAATAATTTTTTAATATTTTTTTTATCACATTTAAATTTAATAAAAGAAAAGGTACAAAATTAGAGTATCCAAACAAATGATCTTACAGTGATTTTAAATTATTTTCTTTCGAAACGACTTCAATCCAAACGGACTGTAAAGTCACAAGGCATAGACAAAACCAATAGACAAAGGGTGAAAATGAGGGGAAATTCTATTTCCACCCACTTAATTAATTCAAGGCAAATCTTTTCTCAATACATATCCCTATTAATTTAATTATTAACTAATTTTCTCAATCTATATCCTTAAATTACAATTAAATCCTTTACTCATAACATGGTACACACTTTACCCTCAAATACACACACTTTAATTGATCCTAATTCACATTTCTAGTTCCACCCACTTTGGTGAAGACCAAAGTGACTTGGTTCAAACAGAAAAAAAAAAAAGATTTCGTTCAAACAGGAAACAAAAAAAAACAAAAAACTTTGCACTTTCCTCACCTCCATTGAAGACTTTGAAGAGCCCCATTGAATCTCTACTAAACACTATTGAAAACCTTGTTTAAGGTGAGAAATCTTTCCATTTTATTATTTCATTTATCATTTTGTTATTACATTGACCATTTTCGGATATCTCTTCACTCCTTTGGCGTAAAAGCATCGATTTTTCCGTTGCTGGGTTTGCTGTGGAGATCTCGGCACTGGGTGTCCGAATCCGTGTGTTTAAGTTAGAACTTAGTCACCGAATATTATGTATAATTTCGACAAATTAGGTCCGAACAAAATACATAATTTCGTACTTTGATTTCCAAATATATTCTATTTTTTCGATTCTGTTGTTCCGAATAAATGCAATAATTTTGGTAATTAATTTCCGAAATATTTGTCTGTGTTCGGAATTGAACTTCTAAATGGTTTTTTTTTTTTTTTTTAAATATATGATATAGAAATTTACACCAAGTTACATAGGCCACCAAGATTGGTTTTACTTTAGGTTCTTTTACAACAAGTTTATTTTATGGGTATGTGTATTTATATTTTTTTTTCGAAATTCAATGCATAACAATAGAAATAAAAATCTGTGCAATATTGGTATTTCCACATGATATTGTTAGTTTAGTAGTTGGGTCTTCAAAAATGTTGTTAGCTAAATAGCTGAACAAAACAATTGCATTATATAGAATATTAAAGCTTGAGTTATTTTGCCTTTGGGGTTTGTCTTTTCAAAGCATTGAAATTGGTGCCAAATTTGGTCTTTGGTTGTATACTTACAGCTATAACAAATTTACAATCAATGGCATGTACAAAGACAAGTGATGGGTAGTCCTTTGATTGTTTGAAAAATGATGTTGGTATTGATTAATGACCATGTTACCTTGGTAAATTGGCTGAAATGAAGTTAATCTGTTTTTCGAATGTTGTGAACATCAACCAAACTAATTGGCGAATGGTCTATATAGAATACAAATAGTTTTGCTATATCCATGTTTACATTGTAATTTTTCAACAAATCCTAGTCTAAATCTTTCATAAGTAGTAGGGTTATGTATTTAACTTATTTTGTTAATTTCACATCATCCAAATTGTGAATTTAATGGTCTATAACTGCGTATTAGATTTCATTAAGGTGGCATGGTTAGGCTACTTATTACCCGCATTGATGTGATCCTTTTCTGGGAGTGCTTATTCTGTTTCATTATATTGGGTTGATGAGAACAACTTTCCTTATGCAGATGGATGTCGGTCCCAATGAACGTCAGTCAATAACAACTTCGAACAGAAGACTCCGTGAATTAGAGAGACGTGGACATGGACGTGCTCGAGTGCATGATGATGACACGCACATTGCCATGGATGATGATCCTATACAGGATGCACCAGTTATGGATGATATTGCTATGGATGATGACCCTACTGGTGATGATGCTGACATTGTTGATGAAGATATCCTTACTCAGCCATTTCCGAAAGGGCCAACTGATCCATCAATCCTTAAAAGTTTTAAAAGTCATGTTGCCGCATCTATTTGGAATGGTACTGATGAAAGAGGGCCCTTGAAGTGTCATAATCACTCGTCTAAGTTTCGTTCGTGGCCGTGGTGGGAACAAGGAAACAACGCTACATTTGTAAACATTGTGGAGATGTCAGGACTTGCACAATTAGCTCGTTGCACGTACCGCTTTGTCAACAAAATTATAGTGTCCAGTTTTGTTGAGAGATGGCAACTGAAGACAAACACCTTTCATTTGACTGTTTGAAAGACTATCACATTGGACGATTCGCCACTATCCTAGGGCTTCCCATTGTAGGCAAATCTATTAGTGTGCATAAGTTGTCAGAAAGGCAGGCCACTGCATTAGTAGTTAATAGCTTGGAAATTAATGAGCAAGACGTCAGACATGAGATGTGTAGTGCTGGAGGCAATTCAATGAGGCTTGAGTCGTTGAGGGCACACTTTCATAATGTCACAGACAATGATTCAATGGAGAGAATTGCATGTGCAGGTAGAGCATACTTGCTATTTTTGTTGGGTTGTACACTTTTCAGTGACAAGACTTGTACTAGGGTCCCCATTGTTTATTTGAGTTTATTGTCCGATTTGACGACTGTATCTTCATATGCTTGGGGTGCTGCTGCATTGGCATCCTTATATTGACAGATGGGGTACGCTAGCTGGTCCGGCGTGAAACAAATAGCCGGTTACATGACACTCCTTGAGGGATGGATTTATGAGCACTTTTGTGGATTCCAATCACACTTGAATATGAATTACACTCGAGACATACCACATGTTTATCGTTGGACTTCTCGGAGAGTCTGGTGAAGAGACACAGTTGTAGGCTTTTCGAAAGGAGCTTGATAGGTTAGGTGTATATGATGTAAGTTAAAAAGTCCTTCAAAATTTGATACTTTATATCATATAAAATTTACAATTGTAATAGTTGTTATTTTTTGTAGGTTATTTGGGACCCGTACCAGAGTTGCAGAGATGTCCATCCGTGTCACCCGGTTACGTTCTACCACAGTTGCCTAAAGTGTTTGGAAATAGTTGAACCATATCACCTTGATAGAGTTTTGAGACAGTTTGGCAGAGTGCAAACAATCCCTAATCCACCACTTGGCCCTATGCGTGCTTCTCGAGGAGCCACAGCTTCACGCTACAATGTTATGTATACATACTTGGACATCATTTGGGAGGCATGGGACAATTATGTGTTATCTGATTGGAGGAGAAGTACACCGGTACGGCAACCTTGGGATTGTGTTCCTGGTTACATGGATTGGTACCAAACCATTACCCATATGTATGTACAAAACCCAGCGCGTCATTCTCAAGTGGACCCGAATATCCATCATTATCAATATCCTAGCCAAGACGCACAGGTATCCTTTTTTTCATTTACATTGCAAATTATTTATGTAAACTGTTACAAGTTTGTATATAATTTTATATTTGTTCTCGTAATGCATCGTATGTGACAGATATATCAGATTACTCATCCTTTCGTTGAGGCTGGCTATGACGATAGTGTTCAACATCTTGATAGGCTTTACTACGCAATTGATACAATCGAACAACTTCTTCGAGATCAGCACATTAGTGAAGTTGTGCCCAACACATCCACTCAGGGTCGGTCTGCACCCAGCTCTTCCACTACACATCGTTTTGGAGCACATTACACTCGCCGGTCATGTAGTTAATAGTAGTTCATAATGTTAGCACAAGTAGTTTCTGATGGTGTTGGTGGATGTATAAGGAGACAAATATTATTATTATCTTCGGATTATGTATTTCTTGGATTATGTACAAGCACACATGTAGTTTGTGATGGTGTGGATAGATTGAACTACTATTTACTTTATTTATTTTTTTACATACTTGTTTAATCTTATTACTTTTTAACAACAGATGCACTTGGTTAATATTATTTTCATTACGTTTTGTGTTCAGACAATGTAAAAATAATATTACATCCATTCCATAAATTAGAGAACTATAACGCATATAATATTCTATTTTTTTTAAAAAAACTAACCATTACAAAATCCAATGGCAAAATGATATCCATCTCGTTACTCCATGCTAGTAAATCATAAAAACTAATGTCTTAAAACTGTCATTACTTCTCTGTAATACATCAATCTATGTCAACTACATCAAATGTCTCTCGAGTAGCTACATTAGGTCCTATGTTGTCTTTGAATTTTTTAATGCGGCTAACATATGCATTCTTCTATTCTGATGCACAAGGGTAATGGTGAACTCGCCAAAGCACGGCAATGGGAGGAACTGGATGACCGGGCTCCAAAAATACCTGCACGTACATCCAAAAAATTACATATCCTTACCAAATACATAAAATTTGCAATTACACAAATATTAGACAATAATGTTTGGTTATTTTCATAACTTATACCTGCACAAAATGATTTCCATTAACAAATCCAATGGCAATCTCGCGACGATCAACTAGGGTTACTGGCGGTGATCTCAAAGGTAAGAAAGTGAGACACTGTTGCAATGACAAGTGGTACAAGACTACATTATAAAATGATACCCCATGTCAGGCATAGTCATCCAACGATCAAAGCCTGGGCTATCTTCAAAACATGAAAGGATGTGTGTCAGCTTCTCAACCCTCTCATGCGACTCGTATAGTACGACGTATTCATCTCTGTGATTATTCAATTCAAGTAACAGATCACGCCTAACTTGCACCCAGTCATTCTCTCCAAGACCAAGTAAACCCACAATAGCTCTAAATCAGCAATTCCCATCACCATCTACATCCTTCATCAACTTTATGAATGGTATTAACATAAGCGGGAAGTTACCAGTATATGCACTCAGTAAACTTGTTCTTATACGATATGTCTTTGTCTTCACATTCCGCTTCTTCTCATGCATTTTTAAAGCTCTCTTTTTCTTTGACTAACTGGAAGCTAATGTGTTCTGGCTATCATGGCCATCGTCAACCAACTCAAATGCACACAGGTCACGACGACAATATATATCAATTTTCTTATGTCCTCGATGTGGATTAGGTTTCACATTAGGCTCAATAACAAAAGTGCTCACTAGATTTGCAATTTCCCTCAACTTCTTCAACATATCCAATTACGTGGCAATATCAGACTCTTTGAACCGCTTCAAAATCATCTCAAGTTCTGGGATACAAGTCAATTCCAACTTCTCAACCTTCGGATTATGCACACATATAGTAAGTCGTGTCCAATGTACATGTATGCTACTGAGTGGAATAGAATGGCCTTGTCTCATGCAATCTACAATCTCGTGAGCACAACGTAAACCATGTGTGCGCCTAAGAACACATCAACATGTTGCAACATCAATTCCAACTGAATTTTCTCTCTTACTCTCTGCCAACACATACTCCAATGCACAAATAGACACATTACCCCGGAGCTCTCTGAATTGAGAAGGTTTGAATGATGTTGCACAGTTGTCAAACTCTTCTCGAATGATGCTTTAACTTGAATGTGTTGTAACTCAAGTAGACAATGTATTTTTTCAATTGAAATCTGAAATGTCGTTTGACTTGAACCTAATTGCCTTTTCAATCTAGCATGAGCACTCTCAACCCTGTTCATATGGATGTAAACCAAAATAGTCAAGCATAATAATTAAAAATAACAATATGATTTATAATAAATTAAAAAAAAATAAATAAATCTTACCGATTGGTTGTAACATTGCCAAAATGCATGCACATGTTTGTATGTACCGCAATGAATTTTTCTTAATATGGATTGTGTTGTAACTCAAGTAGACAATGTATTTTTTCAATTGAAATCTGAAATGTCGTTTGACTTGAACCTAATTGCCTTTTCAATCTAGCATGAGCACTCTCAACCCTGTTCATATGGATGTAAACCAAAATAGTCAAGCATAATAATTAAAAATAACAATATGATTTATAATAAATTAAAAAAAAAAAACAAATTTTACCGATTGGTTGTAACATTGCCAAAATGCATGCACATGTCTGTATGTACCGCAATGAATTTTTCTTAATACGGATTCAACTAACTCACAGTAACATACTTCATTGCCTCTGAATAGTTACTGAAATCCTTATGTAGTGTTGCAAGGTGATCATTGTATTCCTCTTCGGTCGATGACAATATCAAATAGTTCCATGCAGTGTTAAACTTGTCCTATTTTTCTTTTGTGTTAAACATTTTCTTGCATTTTGTCAATACATTCTTATTAATATGCCAATAACATAACAAATGCCAAGCATTCAGAAAGGTGTTGCCAATGGCATTCATCAAAGCAAGCTCTCTGTCTGTGACAATGACTTCAGGTAAAACACTGTTGTCCATAAGATCAAGCAATGTTTGTAACGCCCATACATAATTATCAACCCGCTCAATTTGCAAGTATGTGATAGCCACGGAGAATGTCATATGAGTTGATGTCACTCTCATAATTTCAAGAAAAAGAAGTTGATATCTATTCGTCTTATATGTGCAATCCATAATCAACACACGAGGGAATGTACGAAGCAAATCCAAACTCACTGGATGTGCCCAAAACAAGTCTGTGACAATCATAGAGCCTTCCTCACATGGATGACGCTTAACGTACTTATGTTTTGCTAATTCATCCAGTAGTTGTTGCATCTGGGATCTACCAGCTTTCTGTAGAACCCTACATTGATGTCGTACATTGTAAACTGTCTTCATTGTGCTCATATTAAGGGCATCCCTCTGTTTGAGTGTAATGAGTATCTCTTTTGGTCTTACTAGGCTCTTTGACATATCTACTAATAGCAACTTTTCATTAGCTGACAATCTCCCTGCATATGAATGTCCTTGGAGATGCTCCGCAGTTGAATGATTATGTAGCCCGCAAACTACATTCAATGTCGATTCATCGTTTCTTTTCAACTTGAATGCCCGTCTTAATAAGTCTTTTGAGCCATCTTTCAACTTTTTACGCAATCTATACTTCCCATTCCACTCACAAGCAAGATAAATTCTTGGTCTCTTATAACCGCCACCATAGTCCGACGTCCTTATAATAATAACAAAGCCATTTATCCTTTCAATATTACGTACCCAAGTGAGTAATTCATCTTTGTTGTCGAAAACCTATATAATGTCGCACAACTTTCATAAGAACAAACTAAACAAACTAACTAATACAAATTATAAACTTATGAATTTTATGTTAAAAGTTACATGTTTAGCTGTAAAATGATTAGTACAATCCACCATAATATCGAATTGAACCTCAGATTCTTCAATGTATGCCATCTAAAAAGGAGGGGAAAAAAATTTAATTCGGTTTTATAGAGCCAAAATAAATAAATAAATTCGACACTAAAAAAACGAAAATAATAAAAAAATTTGGCACTAAATATCCGACAAAATTAATTATGTTCGGAACTTAAAAAACGAAATAAATTAAAAAATCAGAATTAAAGTTTCGAAATATATAAAAAAAAAATTGGAACTTTTGTAGCGAAATATTAATGTTACTTCGGAAGTTGATTACCGAATTAATTGATAAAATTTGGCACTGAGTCTCCGACAGAAAAAAGGGAAAAAAACAAAAAAATTACTACACGATTTTACCTTTTCATCACTGATTTTGTTGTCACCATTGCTTGAGTTTGAACTTCCATAGGTTTGCAACTCTTCCATATCAAAATCAAGTAAAAATTGTTGAACTAATAATTAAACGATGCTAATAATCGAGTATAAACCTAGAGATTAAAGCAATATGAGTGATGTTTTGAGAGTATTGCTCTTTGCAAGTAACAAAGGAGTACAGAGTGTGTAATAAGCAAAGTGACCACAATAGAAAAATTAGAGTTTAATTGTTTTCATTTAAAAGGTGTATATTGAGATATTTTTGTTCCTAAAATATATGTATAGAGAATTTATGTATATAATATTAAGGGTGTTGATAGATGTCTATTATAATAATTTTAAATTAGGATATAATTGTTATTAAATTAATTTTTCATTAAGTGTGTTCCTGAGTTTATCAGGTGGATGGAAATAGAATTTCCCGAAAATGAGCACCCCTTCGGTTCTGAAGAAGCCCAAGGTTGAGGAGAGAGAAGACGCCGACGACCGACCAACCACGGCCACAACCAACTCCACCGCCGGCGGGAATGAAATATCAGAGAACAGTTTAGAGACAAACAAGAAGAAGCAATGGTGGCTTTGATCGATCACTGTACCAAAGAAGTCGAACATCTTCGCCAACGCATCACCTATTACGAATCTCAGGTTGTAAAATTTACTCAAAACACAACTCAATTGCTTTTGATTTTAATGAATATGTGTTTGTATGTATTTGAATTCGTCGGATTGGATACATGAGTTGTTGAATCAATTTTTTATGGTTTAGAATTCTTATCAAGTGTGATCTTACTTGTATGCAGTTTGTATTGTGATGAATCCTTACTCTGTTTGGTTTTGATTTTAAATTTTAAAAATATTTTGGGAAATTCTATTTACACACTACTAATTCTCTCATTATACATCGTCAACAGATTAAATGTATATTATAATAATATCCTCAAATGAAAAGACCATTAAGGACAAGGTAGGAGTGTATTCTATCCATTCAAAGATTTCATATATAAAAACACAGAACACTCTTCACATACCATCATCACCTATAGACATATAAACATCCAAAATAAATTGATTTTGAAGATTTTAGAGTTTAACAACATTGAAATCAATTCGTTTTAGGCTTTAAGAACATTGAAATCAATTGGTTTTAAAGATTTAAGGTTTAAAAATATTGAAATCAATTGGTTTTGAAGATTTGTACACCATGGATGACATTGAGATTGTTGATTTCAAACAATGCAACAATGAAAATGTCATTTTACTACTTAACTTTTTTGGTTTTTTCTTTATGTCGATCATATAGTTGTTGGGAAGATGACTTTGTTCGTTATATGTTTGGATAACCAAAGTTGAACTTTTACACAATGTTCGATTATTTTTATTCGAACAAAACAATTTTGTTCAGATTGTTAAGGTTGACCAAATTATAAATGTTCATAAATAAAAAATTGAACATTCTAATTCTTTAAGAATTTCATTTCTCAAATTTAATTTAATTCAATTCAATAATTTAATTTATTTTTAGTATATTTTCTTTTCTTTTTTACAAAAAGTAGATGTATTCAACATTTACAAAAAAATAAAAAAAAATATAACGTATAACAAATAACATATAAAATTTAATATATGTTCAACATAATAAAAATAAACATATAAAAAATGTTCAACATTATAAGTCTGAACAAGTTGAAAATGTTCAACATGCAAAGTATGAACGTATTTGTTTTGTTCAACATAAATATTTTGAACATATTCAATTTGTTTAATTTTATTTTTTTATACAATGATATTATGTTCAAACAATTAGAGTTGAGCCAAACTCAAAAGAGAAATTACTATGCAAGTCGAATTGGTAACCAAATCAAAAGAAGATAGGAAAAACATATCAAGGTGAGAATCAAATGTGTGAATCAAGGGTGAGAATGACAAATCTTCAACGCCGACAATGCACTGGCGAGACAACGATGAAGATGGAGATCTGAAACGGTGAGAATGCATGGGTCGAACGAAACCCTTCACTGGTGATGGAGATCTACGATATTTTGAAAATGGAGATCTCTGGTGTTCTGAAGATGGAGGTCTCTGGTGCTCTAAATATGGAGATATTTGGGTGTGGATTGTGATGTGTATTCAAACAAACAGGTGGTGTGTTACCTTAAGGTTAGTAATGGAAAGTTAAAGTGTGAACTAAGATATTTTCAAATCCTAAAAATTGTTATGTATGTGTACTAAGTAATGGTGTGTACTAAGAGGATTAGTGGTGTGTAAATAGAATTACCCAAATATTTTTTGAGTTTTTTGTTTTTATTTTTATTTATCTTTCATGTTTGTTGTCTTTAGTAAACTTTTTTGGTATTTTAGTTAATTTTATGTTTTATTTTTTTGATGCACCTAATTTAAATGTACTTAAAAAAGTAAAATAATTGTGAAGAAAACTAAAATAAATTCAAAAAATACAACAAAAAAAAAAAGAAGAGGAAAATATATTAAATTTTTGTATTTAGTAAATTTTTAAAAGATTTATTGACAAATTTTGTACTTTTAGATTAAGAGGATCTAAAAAGTAAAAAAAATTGATTAAAATATTAAAAAATGTTGAATATAAAAATTAGAGTACATAGAATTTTTTTTATTTTTAGTATTATGTATATAATCTGTGATTGTGTCAATCATTGATATAGTATTGTTTCCTTATTTATATTGTTTCTTAAATTGTATCATAAATCTATTATATATACATGGCCTCTACCTGATTCATGGGTAAGCCAAATAATTTTTTTCATTCTTTTTGGTATCAGAGCTAGGTTAAGTACCTAGTAATTTTGTTTCACCAGCAGACGGCAGCCTTGCTTTGGCCGCCTGCCAGACCTTAACCCATTCCACTGCCATAGTTTCTTTCAGTATCATTTCGTGGTGATTTCTTCCTCTATTCACTGGTTTATTCATATCCCAAACCTATTTGAGTTTGAGGGGGGGTATTATACCTATATCAAGCCGTCCCCTTAGTGCACCACCTAAGTTGTCCCTTCTAGCGCACAACTAAAGCTGCCCCCTGGCGCACTTTCTAATAAGTCGTCTCTTGGCGTACTCAGTCATCTGCTGCCATCATCGTTCAGCACACTACAAGAATCTGCATTTTTAGCGACCACTTTCCGCGACCAATATAAAAGTTGGTAGCTAAAAGTTACCTTTTGTCAACCAAATATTTATTAGTCGCGAATGATCATTATTTTTGACGACCAATATGAGTTAGTCGCAGAAGGTCATATTTTGGTGACCAAAAAATGAGTTGGTCGCAAAAAGTGATATGCTTTTGGCGACCAACTATATATTTTGTTCGCGTAATGTCACATTTTGGCGACTAAAAAATAAGTTGGTCGCAGAATATCAAAAATAAGTTGGTTGTGGAATTAGCGACCAAAATTTTAGTCGCCAAAAACTTATTTTCCCCGACCAAAAAATACTTTAGTTGCCATATATTGAGTTTTGGCTACTAAAACAATTTAGTCACCAAATGCAAAATAAAAAATTATTTTTTTCTTTGCCGACCAAAAATTTAATCGCCAAAAACTTATTTTTAGCAACCAAAGAAAATCAGTCGCCAATTTAATACTTTTAGTGACTAATATTTTAGTCGCCGTTGATCGAGATTTGGCAACTAAAAAGGTTTGTCGGCGAAGATACCTTTTTTGCGACTAATCTAGTCTTTTCGTCGCCAATTATTAATAAAAAAAATTTTACTTTTGATCTTTGCCGACCAAAAATGTGGTCGGCAAATACTTATTTTTAGTGACCAAAAAACAGTTAGTCGGCAATAAAGTTAAAAAATTTCAAAAGACGCAGATTTATTTTTTGGTGGGAATACTCTCACATTACGGCCCAATTTATTAGTTATGATTTATTTTATTTTTTTCATATGTTCTATCAATATGTACATACACCCAAACAAGTTCATTCTCTTGCTCTCTCTAGAGAGCACGAAATTACATTTTTGCCAACCACTTTTGCCGACTAATAAAAAAATTGGTAGCTAAAAGTTCTTACTTTTACCGACTAAAGTGATTTAGTCGCACAAAAGTGATTTTCTGCGACTAGTTTGAAATATTAGTCGCCAAAAATTTATGGCAGAAAGTGAAAAATTAGGTAAGAGACCAAAATCTTTTAGCGACTAATGGAATTTGGTCGCAGATGTAAAAACGACGTCGTTTTGCTTCTGCAGTGTAATTTTGGCCGACCAATGTTTCTGTTGTGTTTCTATTGTGAGGAAAACCTTTTGAAACAAATTCAAAGTATATTTCACCAAAATCCCGCCTAATCACATTTGGCCCTCTGAATCGCGCCACTCACCTCTCCTTCACCGTCAGCATCGCCGCCTGCTGTCCTTCCTCTTCACCGTCAGCATCTCCGTCCGTCTTCACCTCTCCACCATCCATCTTTGCCTCGCCACCGTCATCTAGGTAAGGGTTTTGTATAACTCTGTCTCTCTATCTGTCTCTATCTCTTACCTTTTCTTCACCGCGCCCCTCGTCTTTCTCATACTCTTCTTGCTGTACAATGTCTTACCCACCAGGGCCCTCGCCCTCTCCATTTTCCGCAACATCTTCAACTCTCCCTAAAATCAATTTGAGGTATAAACCCTCTCTCTCTCTCTCTCTATGTCTCTCGCTCGCTCTCAATGTTTATGTTCATGAATTATTTCTTCTCTTTGATTTCCCTAATTTTTCAAAACCCTATCAATCATCAATTTTGCATATTAATATATAAGGTTTAGTTTATTTGCTTATCAGAATCTAGCATGCATTTTCTTGATCTGATCTTGCTGACTATATGCTATTGTTGAGCCCAGTATATATGTGATTCTAAAAATTGACACTATTGGCTATTGCTGAGCCCAATATGCATTTTCTTGATCCGATCTTGCTGACTTCTTGGTTATTCAATTCTTTTGATTTCATGTTCTTCCATAAATATAATGTGTATATGTGTGTGTGTGTGTGTGTGTGTGTGTGTGTGTGTGTGTGTTTGTTGGGAGATTTTCTTGTTTGGATGATCTGAGGACTGAGGTTCTGGTTTCTAGTGACTTTTTTTTTTGTTTTTTACAGATATTGGCTCTGTGGCTAGTCTAGTTTTGGGATTTATCATGTTTTCCTTACATAGAAAATATATTGATCATTGTTTTGTTGTGTTTTCTGGCCTGAAATTCTTATATATTTATGTTTTATGCAAACCCAACTGAAAGATGGATCCATTTCTTGAGTGATCAATCTATTATTTGCAGTTTGTTTAAATTGTTGTGGGTACATAAATCTTTGATAGATTATGGTGTATGGAGGCATATAATCCAGATCTTAATGTTCTGTTTGTTTTTATTTACATTTGTTTATAACTAATTTATTTGGGTTGTAATAAAATACAAAATACAGATAATGAAATTTTCTAGTTGAGAGGCACTTTTCTAGGGATGAGTATGTTTTTAAATTTTTTCTGCATTTACATTTTCACACAAATCTCAGTTTTAAACAATAACTGAGAGGCACTTTTAACCATTTGTTTGCCTAATTGTATTACCAAATATTGATTTTAAAATAATTTTGTGAATATTTATACTCACAAAAACATATCTACACAAAATTAAATTGCAAAAATGTCACAGGGAGCGAGGCTTATTGTGTAAACACACACGATAAGATTCGTACCATTCTAAGTGTTTTGTGATCCATTTTGTAGTAGTACTGAAAGAGGAATAGGCCTGGACTTTGTAACAAGTTCTGTTGCAGTTTTTTGAGAGCCAACCAGCTAAAACAAATCTTCACATGCTTTGAATGGTCATATGAACATAAAGCTTGTTAGCTAGTAAATTATTAGCATTTATTGAGGAAAGAAGCTGTTCATTCTAGATAAGTCAAACTTTAGACCTACATTAAAATGTTGTTGTGAATTAATTGTATGACCAAAAAAAAAAAAAATTGTAAAGTCATCAAAAAATTTATAATTTCAATTATTAAAGTTGATAAGATATGCCATTAATTTGAAATTTATTTTGACTTTATTCACTTAAGTGTAATTTCTCCTAAATTGTTTGGAACACAAAATAAGTACAAGAATGAGTCTTCTGATATCATTTGATTTTTGTTTTCAAACTCTATTTCGCACTGCCTATTTATTTCCTACAGCTTTTAAAACAAAAACAGACAAAAAACCAAAACAATTTCAGGGTTGTACTCAACCATGTTGTTGGACGACTGTGTATCCACAATTCTCTCCAACACCTTACCTCTAGATGCATGCAGGTCTTTGTCAGTATCATCTTCGTTTCGTTCTGCAGCAAATTCTAGCATTGTTTGGGAGAGGTTGTTGCCCTCTGATTATGAAGACATTGTTTCAAGATCAATAACTCCTTTGAAATTCTCTTCAAAGAAAAAGATATTTGTTTGTCTTTGTGATCCCATTCTCACAGATGGTGGAAATAAGGTAGGCTTCATTTCCTTTTAGACTTCTCATCACTTTAGAGATGAGGCTTACAAGTATGAGGCTTACATCATTCACATGCATTCATGTGTGTTAACTTGTTATGTATTGTTCAACTTAATTTTTAAGAACAGTTTTTTGGTCCACAATGGGTAGTAAAGGTTTGTGTTTCATATATGTGCTTGCTACCATGTAGAGATTTGCATTGGAAAAATCAATTGGGTTAAAATCATACATACTCTCTGCAAGAGAACTTTCCATTACATGGGGCTATCAGCCAATGTATTGGATCTGGAAGTTCATGTATGGATCAAGGTTGGTAGTATTGATATTCTATTTCCATTTTAATTTCTAATCAATTGTGTATCTCTCATCAATTGTCTTTGATGGAAAGGTTAGTGCCTTGGTGGTTAGTGTTGTTTGTTGTTTTTTTATTTTTTATGGTGTGCTTAATATTTGTTTTAGGCAAGCCTGCAGAGGAAGTCATGGATATGTTGTTAGTTGTAGTTTGATACATAGCCTTGTTTATTGTTTCCTAGATGTGGGATTTGTTGGATTGTTAGTTTTTATGTTGGCTTGTTGCAGCAGATTTGTTGAAACATAGCCTAACAATGGAATATTGAAATGATTTTGCCTAACAATGGAATATTGTTGAAACATATCCATGATTTGTTGAAACATAGCCTAAAAATGGAATAATCATTTTGCCTAACAATGGAATATTGAAATGATGCTTAGCAAATTTGAGAGGATTCCGTCTGCCTAAGTGTGTGTGGTTCTTACGTTTTGTTAATTTTGTGAGGGAACACGTACTTCATTCATATTGACTTGTTATGCATTACTAGATAGTTGCTCTCTGTTTTACTCTTCCCTCTAATAAGTTGACTATGATTTTCTAGTTGACCTACCTCATTTGTGCCACTTGTATAAGTTCTATAGCCTTGTTAACTTTGTTTTGTTTAAAGTAATTTTCTTTTTATTTTCTGACTTATCAAAAAAAAAATCTTTTTATTTTCTATTTATTTTATTTTGGGTGCAAAATGTGGACTGCTTGGAGGCATTAATTGTTTAGAAAGGTTTATGACAATGGAGTTCTGCATATAGGTAAGCAAATTCTCTTGGCAAAACTAAACTAATGATTTAAATAGATTACCAATATAAATGATGAGGGACCCCCTTTATGTATTTCTTCTGTCTTTCTTTTAATCTTATTGTATATATGTTTTAAATAATTGAATGTTGCTATGGAAAAATGCAAAAAATCATGTGGTTAGATGGCATTGTAACATAAATTAGAATTTCTCTTTTATTTGCTGCAGCTAAAAGTTTGTACCTAGTTTCTGAACTTCATATGTTCTGTCCACACTTTAAAAAAAAAAAAGAAAAAAAAAAAGAAAAAGAAAATAAGGGTAGTGAGAATGCTATCTCCTTTTTATTTTATATTTTTTTTCTTGTTGAGTTTCGTGCATGGAATATGAGTAGGAACATTTATCGGTTGGTGGAATTTGGTGGATGATAATTTTAGGACATTTGTTTGATAAATGAGGTTTCTTGGAGCCTGAGGTATCCTAAAATGTTGCTACCTCTTGCTTGACTACCTAGCTTTTGTGTCTGGTTTTTGGTGTTTCACAATAAGTTCATTTGGTTCCTTTGATGATTCTTCTTGGCTATTTTTTCATTGGTTTTTGCTTCTTGACTTCAACTTGTATCTGGGTGTGGAGGTTGTTCTGTTCTCTTTTTTTTTTCAGTCCTTGGGATCAATTGAGAATGTGAAAACATGTGTGTAAAAATACCAGTGTTTTGGACAATAGATAGAGTTGATCAACTTTTATATTATTGGTTTATCATGATTTAATATTTCAATGGATGTTACTCCGCATACAAGAATCAGTTTCTCTGCCAGTGAAGCATCTGCAATAAACTCTTCACTCTCCACGCATAGGGTTCACCTGGTTTAAGCCCTTTGCTCCATCTCCTAGTAAGTTTTACCTTACCTTTTGTGTTGTTAGGTTAGGATTCCCCTTTCATCATGCATTTCCAATATTCTAACCCTTTGAAATTGGAAATAACTTAAAAGTATATTAGACTTATGGCTGGTGATTCATACTGCTGTCGTCCACTTGCAACTCAACGATGAACTAATTTAGTGCGATATATTTCTCTATAACGCATTGTAGCTATAACAATGAATCACAGCCACAACTGCTGATTATAGTAGTGTTCTCTCTGTGTTTGCATGGAAGTAGAATAACATAGTCATAGAAATTGATTACTCATGAAAGTAGAATAACATAGTCATAAAATTTCACTTTATTTATTTATTTTTTTCCAGTTATTTCTTTGGGATTACTCATGAAGCGAGTTATTTCTTTGGGATTACTCATGAAAGTAGAATAACACAGTCGTAGCGAGTTATTTTTTTTCTTTTTCCAGTTTTTTCATGAAAGTAGCAATGTTTATCTTTGGGATTACTCATGAAGTGAGTAATTTCTATGTCCAGTATGGAAACATTTTCACTTTATTTTTATTTTTTTCAGTTTAAACACTCCCGAGGATGCTAACCTTGCTGTATATTGACAAAAATATATTTCCTATGTACAATTGGTAATGGTAGTTAGTTGGATTTTTATATTGCTTTAGGTATTGAGAGGGAAATCACCACCTTGCAATTGGAAGTATGTTAAAGAGTTTATAGGTAATGTTTCTGTTGTAAGTTTTTAGTGTTTGATCTAATTATAAATTTATTCTCTTTCCATAATAAACAATAGATCAAACAGAACATTAATATGCAATATATTTTCTAAAGTTAAATTTCAAGTGTAGATATAAGGATCCACACAAATAGAAGTAATTAGCCTTAAGTACATATAAGAAGAGGTTTTCCATAAGGAAATTGTTGAGATAGAGTTGAATAATAAATCAAAGTTTAAGAAGAGCAACCGGCAAAGGAGTTAAAGCTTTACTTGCTGCTTTGTTTTGATCTTAGGATTGTGGGTTTGATGGCTGCCTTTGTTCTTGTTCATCCTGATCTGTCTGGATGCTTGTTTTTGGAGCAAACTGGTGGTCTATATTGTGAAATAAGAAATTTTCACAATTTTTGTTCGAAAAAATGTCGAATTTCACAATTTCTCAAGTTGAGAAACTTAAAAAATTACAATGTTTAAGAAACTGTAAAAGTGCACACTTTCTGTATAGAAATTGAGAAACTTCTTGATTTTTAAATATTGTGAAATTTCTAAATTTCTAATGCTACACATTAGAAACTCTCCCAAAAATACATTACAAATCATCATCATGGATTGTGGGCCTTATTCAAGATAATATAGTACTGAGAACACCATACATTCTGTTGTATGAACGAATAACATAATCGGTTCTAAGATGGATCTCTGCGAATTCTTCTCTGAGCGGCATAGGAATAAGGCGCGAGGCTTGAGTTCTCCCAATCGCGGTCTGACACACCCAAATATGCCATCATATTCTACGCGGCTGCTTGTGCTTGGGTGTTTTGGGCCGCTTGATGTCCTGCGGGAGACTACAAGGAAGTCCATAGTGACGATGCTCCTTCCAGCGCGGCATATGCAAGAGGTTGCAATCAAGATCCCGCGGGCCTCTTTGATGCGCGGCCTTCAGCTGTGCCCGGGGCAAGTAAATGCGAGCACTTCGCTAAGCTTATATAGACAGCGCGACATCTTCTCTTTCATATCTCGCACCTGGATGAACTGGGCCGATCGCCAAAGCCGATTATCATTCTTAGTGACTCTTTCGCCCGTATTGTCTAGTCTTCGCAAGGCGTCGATGGGTTGATAACGTCTTTCGGATTACTTCCTCTCGGTCAATGTCCTCCGTGTATCTAGAGTATGCCTAGAACGGTCTCTTGTGATCTCTTCACTTCTTCGAGTTGTTTTTTTTTGTGGTTTGGTTGTGTTTTGGGTTGTTTGGGTTTTGTTGTGGTTTTGGTGTTTGTTTTTTTTGTGTGGGGTGGATGGGCGGTGTTGTTTTGGTTTTTTCGTGTTTTGTGTTGTTTTGGGTGTGTGTGGGGGTTTTTGTGTGGTGTGGATTTTTTGGGCCGGAGCACCGCAAACTCCTTCTCCCCTTCCACCTAAGAGA